ACTGCCATTGACTCCATTGAGCCCATTTACCTGAAATTCTTTACGTTGATAGTTTGAGGACTCAAGAAAGGACATAATAAAGTTTTTATTACGAAAATCTCTCAAGAACGGAAACCAAACGGGTAAAACCGACTACACTGCGTGTCAGATAAATCTCGACGCAAATTAGAGTGAAATATACCACAACTTTTTATAATGAATATTGAAGAGAGCATACAACATAGAACTATAATTTTATTTATTTTGAACCGTGCAAACTTTTACATTAAAGGAAAACTAAGGTACTGACTTGATTGAAATTATTTAATATCATACATCGAAATAGGCCTTGGAAAAGGGGACAAGTAAACAATTTGAATTCTGCTTGATGTTATATAATGCGCGGACGAAGTAGCGGGAAAAGCTAGTCTAAAATAATTAGATTTATCACTTAAGTCGAGTTCCTCGTCAAACTGTTACGCGAGTAAGCCAATTGACAGTTCGCTTTCGTACCTACTCCTCGAGCGAGCATCTCTTATTAATGAATTTTCGCTACTACTTAACTAGAGCTACATGTAGGTACAGCACGTCTTATATACATGAAAATTTACTGTTCATAAAACATGTTTTGTTTTTTTTTAAACATACTATACAAAGAGACTTCGGTATCAACCATTCTCGTATCACAGTGTACGATTAAGTAAATACAACTGTAAGAAGATTCTACAATTTAATCTTTTGGTAGTTTCAAGTAAAAATGGAACAACACGCTTAAAATGCATTTATTTTGTGACTAAGAAGAACAGTTAGGTATACTTTTAAGAACTATCATGTTAGCATTAACTGTCGACAGAAACAGTAAATTACCGTCAGTGAGAAATTTTCAGCTAATTTGTAAAACAAAGACTTTTGAAGTAACATTCAGGGCATTTTTTTAAGTCTTTCAAATCCCTTTCAAATCTTAGCTACAGTATTTAATTGAAAAGATTTTCTATTTAGACACTTCCATGCCTCAACCACACACACATATGATTTTAATGCAATTTCATAAAAACCTTTAATGTACCTACTAAAGAGAAAAGAAATACTTGATTTGCACTTAATAAAAGTGTTCACTGTAATTTAGCTTCAAATTGAAATACCTATAAACTCTTAAAGTGATGGCTGAATACGTGAAAATAACAATAATATATAGTGTAGGTACTAATATACATGCGTATGAAATATTTTTTTAGCCGTGAGCACCTTATTAGCAGGTACTTAATAATGTGGTCTTAAATGGTATTTATAAATGACATTTACTGTAGGTATTATAAAATATAGCACCACGCCTTTTTCTCTGGAGGTTTAGGTAGTAACCGTTTGGCACTGTGGTTTGGCAGTATTTCTATGTATTCTTGATACAAATAAGTACAAAAATCTGTTGCCCTGGATTTAGTGTCATTGAAGAAAGAAAGAAAAATAGATAATATTTATTCGGTGTCGACATTATTGCCAAGACATAAAAAACGTAGTAAGGTATAAATGAATTCTAAAAATACAATGTAAATAAAACAAAATAAAAATGCAACAGCATTCTCCCACTGTATGTTCCACCGTGTCCTCAGGGCGGTCCTCGCAGTGATGACACCCGGGCGTTTCCTCCCGCCCCATCAGACACAGGTACCTCCCGAAACTTCCATGTCTGGTGAGGACCTGCGTCAGGCGGTAGGTGAGGACGCCGTAGCGTCTCTCAAGCCACTCCTCAAAGAGGGGACTTACCGCTGCGATGGCAGCGAGCCCAACAGAATATAAGCATTGACATTCAGCGTGGCAATGCTGCCAGTCTTCTGGGAATGTTCCCCTGTTTTCTTTTTTTACTTTCGTTTTATTAATTAATAGTTTAGTTGTAGTTAATTTTAAGTTGTAAATATTTCATTGTAATAAATTATAGTTTTCTGCTCACAGCAAGCTTATACAGTTTTTGAAAATCTTCTAGGAATTGAACTTTGATCAGATAATGGAAATATTTAAATTCTGTTAAGTGATCTAAATGATTATGTAAAGTGTAAACATGTATCGGTTTTATAAAAACGAGGAAAATCTTTAAAAATCACGTAGCATAGGTATACGTATAGATTATCGTGTGTACTATATAATAAAGTTTTCTATGTGTACCAACTCAAATTTTATTATTTGTCACTACAGATGACTTCTTTATTGTTTTCATCAAAACATTTCACAAATCGTATAAAGATTTCAGGAGGAGTTTTTTTTATATTATACGCATATTGTCCAGTCAATGAAATGAATTCTTCATTTCAGCCACTATGGGTGCGACATTATGACTGAAAAATAAATGAACATGAGTGCATCTTAAAACTGCCACTAGGTATACCATTATATTTGTACGCGGGAGAGCCATGTTTCAGCTTTTAAAAAACAACTACCAAGGGTTTCGGGCATTCGGGAACCCAACCTTGATTCTAAACTTAGTCTACTAATGATTTGTTCTTCAGCCTATAAATGACCACTGCTGGGCAAAGGCTCTTCTTACACGGAGAAGGTTTGAGCATAAATCACCACGCTTGCTCAACGCGGGTTCAATTTCTTGCTCGATTATTATAATATGGATGATGACCCTGCCTATCCTGCTTACCTTCGGGACCGTTTCTCCTTGGTTCGTCCTCCTGAAGTCCTATCTCGTTCACACCTTAAATCTAATCTTAAAATCCAACCCCATAATACCGATTTTTATTCCTACTCCTTTTCCGTTCATGCAGTGAGTCTGTGGAATGCGCTCCCGCCTAACATTCGGGACGCTGAGTCTATCGCTATCTTTAAAAAACGAGTGAGAGAACACTACCTTTCCTCCTGATATGTAAATTTCTTCATTTATATGTATAGTTTATATTTTGTATGTATTTATTTATGTATTGTATGTAGTTGTTTGGTTATTTATCTGTTAGTTTTAAGTCTGTTTCCTATCCCAATTTTCTATTTGTTACTACACACTGTGTCATTATATTATTATTACTTTTCCTGCTCCAGGTCCACAGGAAGAAATTTCAATAGGAATATGTGGTACCTTTGTACTTTAATTTTATGCATGTGTTGTCCTTTATATTGTATGTGTGTACATAAATAAATAAATAAATAAATAAATAAATAAAGATACTTACTCATAATCTCTGTTCTTTTTCATAGGTTCTGCGTGTCTGTGGTCATCGTCTTGCAGCTTGCTGGTGAGAGTAGCATTGGCAAGGAGTAGCGGGGCGCCTGACATCGCGGCCATTACTCCACTCTAAAGAATAAACAGACAGACAACATTAGCACTTTGAAAATACTCATTATTGCAGAGGGACGTAATTGGAGTTGAGTTTCAAGCCATTATTAATCTTATCTTATATCTTATATTTCTTATACTATTATATAAAGCGGAAGAGTTTGCTTTTTTGTTTGTTTGTTTGAACGCGCTAATCTCCGTAACTACAAGTCTGATTTGAATAATTCTTTTTGTGTTGGATAGCGCATTTATCGAGGATGGCTATAGGCTATAAAACATCACGCTACGACCAATAGGCGAGCAGAGCGTGTGAAACCGCACGGAAGTAGCTAGTTTGTATATATTTACGTAGACATTTGTACGTACAAGAGGATTATGTTTCTTAGGTTAGGTTTGACAAACGTGGCTTACCTATGGGTATTTTATAATAAGTAATAAATATTTAATTTTTAGTATATGTAGTAACGTAATTGGGCCTCCGTAGTTTCACGTCGGTTTCCTGTGAGGCCGTGGTATCACTACGGTCAAGCCGGCCCATTCGCGCCGAAGCATGGCTCTCCCACACTTATTAATATTAGACATACACTCATATAACAATGAATTAATATAATAATATTGGTACGTAGCTACGGAAGTGGAGTTTAAAATTAAGTGGTTGGAATGGTTTTAATTATGCACAATTATGTATAAAAATAAACGTGAGTCTTTGAGCGTGAACAAAAATGTAAATATTAAAAATACAATGCACCTGTCAACGTCATACATTGTTATACACATTAGTTAATCATTTAAATAAAGTTATTCTTTTGTATGAAATTATCTTTCTTCCATAGACACTGCAATACAAATCAGTGACTAATACCTGAACTAGAGCTTTAGGTTACCTTTTATTTATTTAATACTTCATGCGCACAAAAAACTAAAAAGGTGGACTTAATAGCTGTAGACATTTCCTGCCAATCGCAATTACTTCTGATGCTAGATTTATCTACTCAAGCTCCGTAAGAAATGTGTCAATTTATTTTTAATGGTACTTAAAATAGATTTTTTAGAAGCTTAAATGAACAAAGGTACTACTTTTCATGACTTTAAGAATCATTGCGAGTTGTCCTAACGTATTGTAACGAATAAAATATACATTACATTATTAGTAGTCATAGTAAGAAAAGGCTTTTCGATTCAGATCATTTATTTCAATGATTCGCTGTTGATTATTATTTGAACACGTTTAATTTTAAGCGTGGAATGATGCGTATGATGCAGATTATAAATTAAATAGTCTTATATGTTTTTCTTACTCGATTGGTTTTTTAGGAAAATTCAAAATCTCTGCACGGTATCTATTTCTATTTAACTAATAAAATAAGTCATTAAAAATACACTAACAGTGAATTGTACAATAGTATTTAAAAATACAAATTAAGCAAACGTATTTTTACTTAACTTTGGGTAAGTTTCACTGAAGCACGAGACCTTGTGGTTATTTATCACGTGAGTTTAGCGAATATAATGTACATTGTACATATTTATATACATATCTACGTATTCATATACGAGTAAATATTGAACAGTTGAGTTAGATCAGTCTCGTTATTTAACATTTTCAAGTCTGAAATCGTGCTAATTAGGTTATTTAAAGTCAAAGTCAACTTTTGTATACCATTACCAAATATGTTTGTTGAGGAAAAAAAATACATCAACATGTAAATTTTTGCTTGAAAATCATTATACAAACGTGTTGAATTATTTATGAGTAGTGAAGGATGAACAATATTGAATTATAATTGGTTAATTGGACTTTAGTCTTATGATCGTACTGCCACGATTTTAGAGAGTTTGATGCAGTTGTTCTCGCTCGAGTGTTTCCATCGCATAATGCTGCAAGTGCTTATAGAAAGTGTCGTTATTTTATGGGACATCTCATTATTGAGCATCGAAGAGATCGAACGTCTCGCTACAGAATTAAGAGAGATAAACTTTTTAAAGAGTAATAAAATATTGAAACTGCGTATTCCTACAGAATATAGAGATATAAACACTTTTCGTTATTCACAACTTTTACCATAATTTAATTTTAATAGAAAAGTTGACACAAATCCATGTACTTAATATTCCTTTTCTTAGTAATTTTGCTTAAGTATGAATATCACATCACGCCTATTCAATTCCAGAAAGGACAGGCAGGGTTGAATCTCAGTAACGTCCACTTTTCACTACTTTATTTATTGTTAATAACATGATAATAATTTTGCTCAACCTAAGTTTCGTCGTTTGTGTTCAAATTCAGTCTGTTATAGCCACAAAATCAATATACAAGAAAACGGTTTAGTTATGTCCTGATCTCTAAGTCCCTTTATCTAGTCTAAGTCCCTTTATATCAATACATATATACTTACCTTGAAACATATGGGGAGAAAACAGTATAAGCACGTATACGTGACGATACGTATGCTTACTTTACTCATTTCCCTTATGAAATAAATGCACGAGGCACGATCAGTTTAAAACATTGAACCTTGGCATAGGTCGGGAAATCGTTGCACCAGCCTTGCCAGGTCATTATTAGGTTTGTGTAATAACCGCCAAATATCGTGAAAAAACATGATTACTTATATAACATTAGGAATGTTATAGTAATAAGGTATGAAACAATACTTTCACGTTTAGTCTGGACTAGACAACAGTGAAAGATAATAGTAAAAAGATAGTCTGTAATTCTAGTGCATTCTTCATGCTTCTTGAATGATATAAGTGTCATTTCTGCAGCTAAAGTTATTTTGTTGACGTCTTTTTAATTTTCTTTTTTTAAGCTTGAAAAAGGGTATGTCAAAATTGAAGGGATAGTCTGTAAGAATGTTTCTAAAAATAAATTGAATATTGATATACTATATAATTCCAAACGTTTGTCAGATTTTTTTAAATGTCCTAATAAATTTTGTTCTTCTAAAGCGAAGCAAGGTGTGAAAATGCTCATAAAAGATTAAATTTTATAAAATCATTGCAATCTTAATTTACTACTCGTATAAGCTAGATTTATTGACTCGTTAAAATAACTTATTAAAGGAACATATTTTTTAATAATGCATGAGCTGATGAAGTGACGTTCAGTAAAATATTTATAATGATAACATCAGTAAGTGCTACCTACTGTAACATGTTTTATGTAACCTACGCAAAAATACTACAATATGTCATTATAATTGGGGATTCTATTTCATTTCCAAAGAACTACACAAAGAAATGACAATAAATACCTACACATAATTTTCTAGAAAAATAATCCGATTTAAAAAGCAATGAATAGAATTATTTTTATTCGATTGCTACAACATTTGTATAAGATTGAATTTCGTTCAATGAACTTTCGTGAGGTCGCATATATTATATTAAAAAAGTCAAAGTCATTGTTTAAATATATTATTCCATTAATGTTCTTTAAAATTAAAGACAAAACGCGCCAATGACGCCATCTTGTCAGTGCAAAGATGCCATAAATAAGTTTTCTGTATTCGAAAAAGCATTCTGGAAATCTCTTTATTCATTCTTCGTTCTGGATTAGGAAGCGGGTTCAGGTTTATTCAAATGTTGTCAAATGTGTAGTAGTAGTCCCTTGCAACATCCGCGGGAATAGCGCCGATTAAGTGTAGAAGACCCAATCTACGGCATGAATGAGCCGACTTAATACCACTTGACACAAACTTCATAAAAAACTGACTAAGAAACCGAAGCGTTGTTTCGTCATTTGAGTGACGCTGAATTCCCGACAGTCCTCAAATTCCTTTCAAAGGGCCGGTAAAACACTTGTGACGCCTCTGGTGTTGCGAGTGTCCATATGCGGCACCGATTGTTTACCATCAGGTGATCTGTCTACTCTTACCTCTTACTCATAAATAAATGAATAGAGATGTGGGCGACACACACATATGTTTATGTGTGTACCACCGATTATTTTCTTGTTAATATTTTCGCCTCACTCATATCTAAGTTGGTCATCACAATAGTACGTGATTAACTCGTCGAGTACCGGTTTTGCAGACACAATTATAGAACAATAGGTTGCGGTCACCCGTGACCGCTTGGTATTTGACAGTTTAATTTATTATCTTAACAATGCTCTCTCACGTTCCCTATACATACATACATATACATACGTAGTGTATCCAATGTCATCAATACACAGATTATACATGTAGATACTTACCTACTTCAGAGTATAAGCGGAATCCCTAATAAATTATTAATATGTAACTACCAGTTTCTGAATAGATACTAATTCAACAGATAAAAATAATGACACTACTTTTAGCGGTTGTGTATTATTTGCGAGGTGTTTTTTGTACAATAATTATAGGGAGGCATGCTAAACTAATTTAAATACAAGACTGATTTGATCTATTCGAGAAAAACTCTACTAATTTCAAGTCACAACCGGGACTCATATTCGTAAGCGGCGTGTGATAGAGAGACAATTATTGAAGTTGTTTTGACCATAAATGCTTTTGTCTCTATATTTTTAGACTGTTATATGAAATATAACACATGATGAAAATAAGGCCTTGTTGTTTTTGATTTTCAACTAAAGGTTATTGTATTGTATTAGTATTCACTAATAAATGCCCACAAAAGCAAAACAAAACACTACTTTTATTCAGTCCAAATGTTTGCTTTTAATTTGGAATCTTTATTGAGACCATGTTTTTAAATAACGTAAATATTGACGTCTCGGGACTTAACCCACGGTGGAATAGACATATTAGCATTCATTAATAACAAACTAGCTGTTGCTGTGGAATATGAATATCAGACAATAACTATTTTTGTTTCAATTTTCCAATATAAGTAGCCTATGTTACTTTTTGGTACATCAGCTGCCTGCCAATAAAAGTATTGCAAAATAGGTACAGCCATTCCAGAGACAAACAAACAGACAGACAGATAAACAAATATTGTAAAAAATGTTATTTTGGTATATGTATTGTATGTATATTCATAGGCATTTAGTAAAAAGCGGTTATTTT